CACACACACACACACACACACACACACACACACACACACACACACACACACACTGCTCTTCCTGAATCTGAGATTAGACTATCCGACGGACCCTTCTCTCCAGGACCCCTGAATAGACCTTAACAGGGAGGCTCAGAAGTGTGATCCCCCTATATTTGGAACACACTCTAGGCATTTACGCACTGCAGGGCCGGCCCCGGCTGGCCCCGGCCCACAGATGGCCTATGTCTGGCCCTGGATGTTTTGCACTGTCATCAGAGCCACCTCCAAGTGGGTGGGAACTGTTTACCGGAAAAGCGCGCATAACGGCAGTGACGYCATTTGGTTTGCGACACAACAACAATGGACRCCGCCACAGAACTCCTGACTGTTCTGATGTTGTTTATGCAAGTAGTGAAATTACAGATTTCAGTGCAAGAATGGATCCTTAAATGTCRAGTGAGAYGACGAATGGTGATGCGCAGAAGAGCGGAGAGTTTCCGAAGGCTGTRCTTGGCCATACAACAGCAACAGAAAGCTGCTATAGCGAGACGCAGATGGCATCGACGAGTAAGCTAGCAATATTAGCTTGTTACATGCTACCGTTATGTTAGCAGTTGCTTTTTGCTATATACAGTATTTTAATGACTTGCCAGACTCGTTTTGACTCATCAGAATGATTCAAAGTGAACGTACTGTAGCAATACCGGTAATGTTTTCTTTTTTTATTTAATTTAGATGATGTACTGCCTCCGGGGACCGTCTGTCTGKGCCTACAACYGAAGCTCTCACTGGTGGGACCTTATTGTTCCAGGATTTACCGATGCACAGTGGGTCCAGAACTTTCGGATGTCAGAGGAAAGTTTTAACTACATCTGCTCCAGATTACGTGCTGCTTTAGAGCGACAAGACACAACCTTCAGAAAATGTGATGAGCTAAAAAAAAAGAGTGGCAATAGCTCTGTGGAAGCTACATACGTACCTACAGGCTCAGAATACAGGAGCATTGGACATTTGTTTGGAGTAAGCATTTCTACCGTCTGCACGTGTCCAGGAGTTCTGTGCTGCAGTACATGCTGTGCTAATGCCAGAGCTTATAACATTTMCAACTCCTGAATGATTTAGAGATATGGCAGCCTATTTTGAAGACAGGTGGGGTCTCCCCCAGTGTGTAGGTGCTATTGATGGGTCCCACATCCTCATCACCACCCCATCTGAGTATCACAGAGATCTTTTTAACCGTAAGAGCTCGCATTCCATTCTTCTAATGGGGGTTGTTGATGGAAAGGGACTGTTCTGGAACATCAGCTCGGGACAACCAGGGAGCTTCCATGACTCCAGAGTGCTGAGACTGTCTTCACTGTCGGAACTGGCTGCACAAGGACGTCTTTTTCCACCACACCAGAGACACTGGGGGGCGTCAGCATCGGTTATTACATCCTGGGTGACTCAGCTTATCCTTTGAAAGTCTGTCTCCTGAAACCATTCTCAGACAACGGACGACTGATGGGAGCAGCAGAACTTCAACTACAGACTCAGCTGGGCTCGACTTACGGTGGAGAACACGTTTGGTTGCTTAAAGGGAAGGTGGTGTTGTTTGCTGCAAAAGAACGAGTGTGACAATGAGCTTGTCATGAAAATGGTGRCAACTTGCTGTGCTCTCCACAATCTGTGTGAAATCCACGGGGTGATGTACAACAACACCTGGGATGTGGCACCAGCTGGTAGACCTCACACTGCAGGAGCWGCAAATGCAACTGGGGAGGGGAGAGCTGTACGAAATGCCCTTTGTGCAGCTACTGCAACATCACTAATTTACACACATACATAACACATTTCTTTTTGTTTTCTTTTTGGGGTGGGGGGTTGTTTGTTGTTTTTTTTTTGACATGACAGCATTTACATTTTGTGTCGCATGTTTCATATTATGAATATGTTTGGRTTATGTTATGCTATGTTAACATGTTAGGTTTATTCCAGCAATAACAAATCCTATTTTTGCAAAAACAGCTGTATAAATTCAGTAGGAAGTGCTATCACCTGCTTGCTTATATTTTGTTCTTGTTTTCAAAAAAAATTTTGGTTTTCTTATCTCAAATAGTAAGATTGTTCAAGTTCAAGTTGTTTGAAGTTGTTTTTAAAGAAGGGATATATTTAATTTTTTTATTTCTTTCTGCACCCTTTTTATTCAGTAACTGATAGATTTTCTTCTTATTCCAGCTGTCACCTGGTCTTTCAGAGTGTGAGGTAAAACCCAGTGTTAAAAAGTAACTGAGTACCAATAATTTGTTAGTGTACTTACATAAAGTTTTTGTTATCTGTACTTTACTTRAATCCTGATTATTAAGCATACTTCTTACTTCTGCTTCATACATTGTTACACTATTAGCTGTACTTTCTACACAATACATTACAGCTGCACACCTCCAGCAAAAATATTTTTGGTTTGGAGAGATCACCACCCACTAAATGTAATTTCTGTAAATTTAACTCATTTTAACTTAATACTTTTAATACTTACCGGTAAGTACGTTTTGTCAGAAATTTACTTTTCATATTTGAGTTAAAAATTAATCAGGTACTTTAACTTTTACACAGGTAATATTCTTAAGGAAGACTTTTACCAAAGTAATTTCATGACAAGATACTTGTTGTTTAAAATTAAGTCAAGTATCATTTGGAGGTGCTTTCATACAACCTTTGATGTTAATTTCATAATCTTTGTCTCACAGTCATGTATCACATCAAAGAAAGGCAGTAGTGTGGTAAAAAAAAAACAGTTTTATTACACTTCGATACTATAATGTAAGAACTATTGCACACAGATCACTTTAAAACAATTTGCACTCGTAGAATTTTTACTAGAAAATGCTGCACACAGGTTAAATAAAATAATAAAGTAATAGAATGTGGSACTGTTAATGTCAAAAAACAATGAGGTAGAAAATATTGCACTGAATTTAAACAAATAAAGCAATACTGCAAATGGAAGTACAACTGCGGAGTTTACATTCTGGAAGCCAGCACATCCACCAACTTTCCCAATGAATCTGCTATGCGTTCTTGCTGCTGTGCCATCATTCTCATGGCCTCAGATTCTGCCCTCGCTGCCTCCAAATCTGCCCTCGCCAACTCCAGTTCCTGTTCCAGTTCTTCCATGAGCAAATCGACATGCCGGTCTCGCTGGCTTCTGTCATCCTGCGCCTCTTGTTGCATGGCCAGGATGAAGTCCGTGTATGCTGTACTCCGTTTACGCCGACCAAAACGAGTACCTGCAAAACAAGCGCACACAATATTTTTTAGTAAACTTAACGCAAAACACGAAGATAATGCCTTGCTAAAAATGTAAAACAAACAATWAAACCACCTTGCTGAGCAGGGGTGGCACACGCCGCGGGGTGCGGAGTTGTGGGCCTCGCTGGTGTGGATGCAGGTGTGGCCGGCGGAGATGGACGACACGATGGTCCTGGTTGTTCCTCCATGCTTGATGCGGCTGAAGCTGACTCAGAAGTGTCTGACGAGGTTGAAGACTCTAAGCCAAAAACAAGTTCAACAGAACAACGTYAACCTGTTATGTTAGCTATTGCCACACGCATGGCTAAACAAGCTAGCAAGCTAAGCTAGCTAAGAAACTAGCCGTTCAACCGAAAACTCGAAATAAACGCAGACCAACTGAAATGTATTAGCTTCATTGGGAAAAGTCACACTTGGTACAAYACTAAAAATATCGACAAGACAAACTCACCATCTTCCATCATACTCTGCAGCAAGTGAGAGGCAGAGTCCAGCACAGTTCCTCTTGCGTTGCTGGAGGGCCGCTGGCCAAAAACCTGGTCCATTGTATCAAAGCACCGCCAATCCTTCCGCCCTCGTCCACTCTTGCCGTTGTGGTCTTTTATTGACCGGTAGTCAGACTTTAATTTTTTCAGCTTCTCCCGACATTGKTTAGATGTACGGGTGAAGCCGGTTGCCACCATTTCCTCCGACGCACGCTTGAACACTTTCACGTTTCGTGTGCTGCTATCCAGCTCCTTCTGGACATGCTCATCCGCCAAGTAGTTCAGGAAAAAGCTAACCTCATCRTTAGACCACGCAACGGGGGCTTGGGATGAAGACATTGTCAGCAAGTTATGACCAGGCTCAACASAAAAAGTAAAATGGCTGCGGTCCGAATATAGTCGCGCTGATGACTAACTGCTGTCCCGCCCCTGCTGCTAACAAACCAATCAAATGAKCAGCTGTWCATGACATCAAACTGGGCCYATCAGGCCRGCCTGAATAGAAYCTCRCCTGGCCAGGTTCCAAAACTCGGGCTGGATCCGGCTCTACTTTGCTTATGCACAACCGCCAAACCTGGGTTAGAACTCGGGCCGGGGCCGGCCCTGCAGTGCATAAACGCCTTCTGCGGTCCTCCTTTTTAAATAGGGGGACCACCACCCTGGTCTGCCAATCCAGAGGAACTGCCCCCGATGTCTACGCAATATTGTAGAGTCACATCAATCAACACAACTTTACAACATCCAGAGCCTTAAGGAACTCCGGGTGAATCTCATCCACCCCCGGCGCCCTGCCACCGAGGAGCTTTTTAACCACCTCAGTGACCTCGGCACCAGAGATTGGAGAGTCCGACCCAGGGTCCTCAGGCTCTGCTTCCTCATGGGAAGACATGTGGGTAGGATTGAAGAGGTCTTTGAAGTATTCTGCCCACCGACCCACAACATCCTGAGTTGAGATCAGCAGTGCACCATCCCCACCATAAATAGTTTTGATGGTGAACCACTGTCCCCCACTGAGACGCCGGATAGTGGACCAGAATCGCCTCAAAGTCGTACGGAATTCTGTTCCATGACCTCTCCAAACTCCTCCCACTCCTGACTTTTTGCCTCAGTGACCACCTGAACCACGATCTGCTTGGACTGTTGATACCTGTCAGCTGCTTCCAGAGTCCCACAGCCCAAAAAGACCTGATAGGACTCCTTCTTCAGCCTGACAGCATCCCTCACCGCCGATGTCCACCGGTGGGTTCAAGGGTTGCTGCCACGACAGGCACCGACAACCTTACAGCCACAACTCAGGTAAGATGCTTTGACAATGGAGGTAAATGAATAAACTAAATATCTAAAACACAGTCAAAGTTTTTTCATTAATAAATTGTAAACCAGTCGTTAAACTGCACTCAACTATTTTTAGTTTTAGTTACAATAATTTGACTACTGCTGAGGTAAACATTCAGTGTTACAAAGACTGAATTCACTCCACAAAGGGTAGAAGAGCAGCATTTAATTTAATYTGAATATGATTTTCCAGGTGTTTTAGGCTCTTCTGTTGGGGATCCAGATTAATCCAGATATTAGTATTATTGATCCCAACATCCTGCAGTTTAGAGCTCAGCTACAGAACAGAAGTCCAGCTGCTTTGTTTTTCATCTTTCATCATGTCCTGATGACTGAGAAACCAACAACTGAAGCTAACAGTTGTACCAACATGTTGGATTAGATCCACACCAGCATGATGGATCCAGACTTAAGCTTATGTAGACTGTGTCGCTCTAGAAGTGACATTCTGCTCGAGTTGGCAGGAAGGCCAAATGGAAACACTGGATGAAACGCAGCAGATAATATTGTAGCAACTTCGGACTGGGTCCACACATGCTAACATGCTAACATGTAGCATCCACCCTTCTGTAAACACAGCACACTGTGTGATGTCACGTGTTCTTCAGAGCTGTGGACTGTTGGAGTCTGATGGAGGTCACCTTTAAATTAGACCATCAAACCACACAGATCAGAACTTTAAGTCCTGCAGGGTGAACGTAGTCTGTGTCTGTGTTCTGGTTCTGGTCTCACCCGGTCGTAYTTCTCCCTCAGCTTCTGGGCCTTCTCTTCGTACGGTTGTTTCTCAGACTGGGACAGTTTGCTCCACATCTCTCCCAGCTTCTTGGCACAGTCTCCTATGGACAGACCCGGGTACTGCTGCTTCACACTGGGTCGGTACTCGCTGCAGAATACGAAGAAGGCTGACCTGCAGACAGAACCAGAGCCACACGGTTAGTGTTAGGGTTTATTCCAGTTAAAGATGTGTGTAGCTGAAACCTGGGTCAGAACTCAGTCTCTGTATCCTGAAGTTATTAAAACTAGAAGCACTCAGAGTGAACACATACACAAAAACTCTAGGTTGAGATGAGAGCGTGCTGCTGCTGAGCTGTGACTGGTGGAACAGAGTTCTGCTGGATGCTGATTGGCTGTCACAGAATGACATCATCATTAAAAACCAGGCTCTGGCTCAGTTTTAGGCTTCAGGTTATGTTTGTGTCAGATGTGACTTGGTGCTGAATAAATAAACTGAACTGAATTGTTKGAAAAATCCTTGAATCTCTTRTGTTAGCCATGTGGAGCTGCCTAAACACTCACTGCTACAAAGCTCCGCCTATTTAAACMYAGCTCCTCCCTGGAACTCAGTCTGCAGCTGAGCTCCTGCCCGCAAAGTATTGTTGTGAAAATGTGAAGAGGGAGTGTCAGAAATGGTAGGAGGTTCTTAGAGTGAGGCCMATTTCAAAGCATTAAGATGGCTGTGATACAAAATAGGTTTTCTTTTTGATATATACAGATTTTATCATAACTGAAGGTAACRGTTACTTGATTGTGGTAAAGAAATATACTACGTGCCTGGAAAATTCATATACATACACATACATACTGATTTCTCATTTCTTTGAATGTTTGTCAGACTGAAATGTTTTAAATCATCAAACAAATAAAATATTTAACAATGCAGTTTTTAAAAGGACTTTAATATTAAGATAAAAWTCATCCAAACCTACATGATAAACGTCTTAGTAAAATCCTTTCAAATTGCAAATAATCTCAATAAAAGTTAAATTGAATAAGTATCTTCCACTAACCAGGGTCCAGAGCAGGAAGCAGAGTTTAGTCTTATGGTGCGTTCACACCGAACGCGATTTCAGCGTCAGGAGCAGCAGGTTTACATACAAAGTCTGTGGTGGAC